CATGATAGCAATGAGGTAAATTGTTTCACTGGTCTGGGAACCAGACATCGAGATGATCGGTAAATAGGTCTCTGTAATGTAAACTATCTCACTCAAAACCAATCCAACAGAGGAAGAGGATTGGGGATAGCATAAGTGGAAGAACCGTATTAATCTGAAGATCCACCACTAGGACCCACAACACAGGTGGTGGGACAAATAGTAAAATTGAGTGTGTGGAAACAGAGACATTTATAATACATGTGTGAGGGCTTATGTTAATTGGTTCAGCTCTGAATCAACATTTATGTGGGGGGTAGGAAGAGAGATCACAAATGAAGGGGTGAGCTGCAATTTTGACTGCTCACTCCAAAGCTACACTATCCCCTTGGATAAACCTGTAATGAGATAGGACATCAGATGGAGCAGAACACCACTTCCATACTCTCATTTGAATGGTTTTATTATTATTTGAATCACATTCAGAAAAATGCCTCCAGTGCAGTGGAGAGTCCGGGGAACATTAACACTGGAGATAGTGCAAAGGGAGACAATGAAAACCCTATTTTGAAAAGCAGACCATACCTGATTTATTCAATCAAAGGCATGGTAGGGATGGACAACTATTCCCTTCTACTTTACCCATAAAGTCCATGGGTGACTAAAGCACGGAACAGGCATATTAATGAGGCAAATATATTGCAAGGAAAAACCTACAAGCAATCTTGTGGAACACTCCATCTCAACAGTGAGTGCTTTATGGCTATGGAAATTAGAAATACGCAGTCAAAATGGCCTGAAAGTGCAGATTTGACTAAAAAAAAGAAAAAGATAACTTATCCTGTCACAGTCTTACTGAAATCTGAATAATGGCTATAGGTGGAAGATGATGACCTGAAGATGAAGACATGGTGATCCAATGCAGATAGTGAGATATGAATGTATATGGAGTAAGAATTTCCTCCAAGGGACGACAGAGATGAGATGCCAAGGAAAAGGTAAGGTGCCTTATCTGATGAGAAGACACATGGAACAAATTATGGGAAGAATAAGTGAACTGAATTAAAAGCAGAGCCCAATTGGTCAGGGTGGAGAGAGGTCATGAACAGAGGATGTATGCCAAGAAAGGAATAGGCGGGAAAGGGTATCGCAGAAGGCAGCCATGAGGGCAACATAACAATGCAGAGCACTGAATGGGACATAGTAGCCTATCGGGATCCAATCAAGGATAAAGTTTTGGGAAGAAAAGATTGATCCGGATAAAGAAGAATATATGTGAAATGATATAAAGTATATGAAAAGTTGATGGCAAATACATCCGACTGATGAAGTCCACAGGCTAACAGAAGAAGGAAATAAGTCTTAAGGGATACATGAAAAATCGAGCTTGAGATCAGAGATTCAAAGGAAGGCAAAGTGAGGCATATTCACATCCCAATCCGGAAGGACTGCACGCCAATGTGGACAACTAATCTGGAATGTAACAATAGGGAAAGGGTAAGAGAGGTAAAAACTTTATGATACCTGGAAAAACTAAAAGTGTGGGATAACACTGCCTGATAACTCAAGATCGAGGAGACAGAAGACCCCTGATCATACAGCCAAGTGGGGAAATCCGTAAAATGAGGAATAGTGGGTTGAGCAGGGGAAAACCCTTGACCCAAAGATCAACAGTGGAAAACATTCCACTTACACTGATAAACATCCCAAGAGGAAGGGTGAATGGAACAAGCAAAAAAAGAAGCAACCTGCTGGGACAAACCAGATCTCTTTGCCAGGGACCAGATAGAAACCAGGTGTGAAGACAGAGGATATGAAGAGCTGGATGAAATGCTGGTGCCCGAGGTTGACATAGAAATGGTAGAGTAAGAGGAATAGGTAATGGAGAGGCAGTATGGAGCTGGAGCAGCCACAGATACCATGGTTGTGCCACCCAATATGGAGCAATCAGAAGGACTTGACATGGAGTGGCACGGACGACTGAAATCATTCTGTGAAGAAGATGGATGGGAGGATAAACATACAGGTATCTGTTGGTCCAATCTTGACTGAACACATCAACAGCCAGAGCAAGTGGATGAGGAACTGGATACCAAAACAGACGCAACTTAGTATTGAGGGATGTGGCAAATGCATCCATATGAGGAGTACCCCACTGAAGGCATAGCCACTGGAAAACAAAAGGATTGAGAGACCACTTTATCGGATAAACTTTGTCGGGGCAACAAGATTGAACGCACCCGGAACCTGACACGTAAGGATACGAATACCAGGCATGTGGGCCCCAAAAAAGGAGATCCAAGGTTTGACCACAAAGAAAATGAGAACAGGTGCTACTTTGGTGATAGATATAAGCCACCATTGTGGCCAACCTGAAACTTCCTCCTGATCGACCCACAGCTCCCAGCCCTGAAGGGAAGCATCTGTAAAGATGTGCAAATCCAGATAAGGGGGAGGAAGCAGAACACCTGCCAACGTGTGAGCCTTGTCCAACTACCAATGTAGATCGCCTACAAGGGAAGGAGGAAGAGAAATAGGAGCCTCCAATGGTTCCTGTTGGATTCAGTTGGTTGTGCAGAGACCACTAAAGAGATCACATATATGCTTGACCCAAGGGGATAAGGACTTCCTTGGAAGACCACATACCCAATAGTAATAGAACCTTGTGAGCTGTAAGAGAGGGAGCAGTAAGTGCATGGAGAACAGAAACCTCCATCAAAGTCAAAGAGTAGAAGATTGGGCCTGACTGAAATGAGTGCTGAAAAAGACACCCAAATGAACAAAATATTAGGTAGGTGTAAGGAAAGACTTCTCCAATTTGATTAACCAACCCACAAGAGCTCTCTCCAGCAGCAGCAGATGAGTGTGATTGGTGGACTCCTGTTTGGAACATGCTAAAGAAGCCAGTTGTACATGTAATGATGAAAGCACAACCCCAGAGCATGCAAATGTCGGGCATATGCCTTGACCACCTGACAAAAAACATACAGGGCTGAAGCAAGCCCGAAGGGCAGGGCATGAAATTGATGAACTACCCTGTGATGAATGAAGCAAAGATAGTGCCTTGACTGACGAGATATCGGTACATGCAGGTAAGCATTTGTGACATCTACTTTGGCCACTTATAAACATGGAGAAAAAGCCCACCTGAGTGTGAGAAAAGACTCCATGGTTGATCGGGGTATAACCAAAATTTAATTGAGGCAGGACAAATTGATCACAGGCCACCAGTCTCCAATTGTCATTGGTACCACAACCAGTCTGGAATAAAATCCTGGAGAAGGATGATTCACAGGCTCAATGGCCTGCTAGGAGAGAAGATCTTGTACTGCCTTGGACAGATGTTGACTGGTGGTAGGATCCTAAAGCAATGGAAAGGAAATGGGTATCTGAGACAATGGAGGAAGGGAAAGAAAATGTTAATAAGTTCCTTGGATAAAACCTGAATAACCCACAAATCTGTGGCAAAAAGTCGCCAAAGGGGAACAAAATCGGTCAAGTGAGCTCCCACTGGACCTGAACCCACCAGGTAGTCATCAGTACTGTTGGTGACATGTCCATCTGCATTGAATAAATTGTTTGATGAGGGAAAAAAATATGAAAAAACTGTTGAAAAACAAAAAATAAAATCCACTTTGGAATAATAAAAAAAACCCATAAATTTTAACAAAAAAATAAAACCATGATTGAAGAGTACTACAAAAACGTCTTCACACGAGTACTGCCAAATGAAAAGGGATTTGGTAGAATCAAATAGAAGGAGTCACGTGTCAGGATAGTGTGCCACACTCTTATTGGTGGAGGGTTGTTGCATGATGACTTACACACAAGATGCATTTGAACCAGTTGATTGTAAGGTACGTGGAAACTCAAGGCTTGTGGCATGCGACAAGATTTTTTTGCATATAGAGGACAGCACTGAACGAGAATAGCTATTTATGTGAGTGGAAGTAATGTACTTTATCAAAATTCAGAATTATAGTCAACATTCCTTCTCAAATTTGAAGTCAGTCCAATGGACTGACAACATGCACAATCGATTAATTTTACAAACTAAGACTTTATTTCCTAAACTTTTGTTGTAGAAAAAGAAAATTCAAATATGAATGTGTAGTCACTTCTGGTTCTCTTTTTCGGTTATAATCTGACTGACCTTTAACAGTTCTACCATTAATAAACAGCCTTCTCCTTTGTTATGGTATCATGCTTATACAACCACTGCTAATAAGAAACATGTAATGAACACATGAAGTGAACAAATTTAATTCAACACTAGTTATAATTATAGTTAGGAAATACCAAATACTTTTATGACAGAAGTATACGAAAACAAAACAGATATTTTGTACAAATGTTTAGTGTATAATTATCAGTTACGGTTAACATGGATGATTGAAAATAATTTAAGTTTTTTAAGTTTTTGATCCAAGTAGTCCTTTATTATTATACATTTTGAAAAATTGTATTAACATATACATATCCAATTTATCTAACTTTCAGTAACATTTTTAACCTTATGTATTATTATATATTGTTTTGAGGTTTTCATGTCTTTGGCAACATCCAGCAAAAGTCTTTCTATCAATACACTTAATATTGAGTATACTTTGACTTGTAATTTGAATTTAAACTTAACACTGACACAAAATAAACTAAAAATTTTGTAATATATTTTCACATTGTTCTTAGTTAAGCAATCTTATAAAAAGGTTATCATGGTGGACATGGAAATATTTTGTATCCTGAAACTGAGAGCTGACCAAGTCCATGCAAAGCAAGTTTTTTTTTTTTTAAATTTCCATAATGCTACTGTAAAACAATTTATCTACAATAAGAAACAGAAAATAGCATGTTGATCATAAACAAAGTCACCTGAAAACCCTATATCACAGATACACTGAAATCCTTTCCCATCAATAATGCACAGACCATGATCACAAGGATTATGAACACATGGGTCAGACTGGATTTCACAAAATTCACCTAGTTAAAAAAAAAAAAAACAGTCCAGTTATTCAACAGTAAAAACACATATCTGATGATATAACATTAATATTCTTTTCTAACTTCATATGTATAGGAACCAAATGCAAACAAATATTAGAAGCTGTTAAAACTTATGCTGTATAAAAACTTACAGCTTGACTTTTATCATATCTCTAAAATCTATTTTTCTAAGAAATTATTTTTATTACAATAACAGCAACGGCTTTAGGTTATAAACACTAAATAGATTGGGCAAACTATTCCAGTACAAAATGGATTTGTAAAGTTACAACACTACAAAGAACATTTTACTTATTTTACTGGCTTACCTTTCATTTATTTTATTATCATGCTATTTATTTATTTTTACCTTTCATTTATTTTATTATCATGCTATTTATTTATTTTTACCTTTCATTTATTTTATTATCATGCTATTGGTCAAAGTATGACATAAGGAACTTCAATATGAAGAAAATTCATGAATATTAACAAATCTATATATGTATAGAAAATTTACGGCTAACAACAAAGAAAAAGCTACCTGAAAATCCTACATAACACACACACTGAAATCCTTTACTACTTATGATACACATGCCATGAGAACAAGGGTTAGGTGCACATGGATCAACTTCAAACTCACAAAATTCACCTATAATATAAAAATATTAGAATTTAAAAAAATGATAATTACTCAGTACTAGCTTTGATATACTAACTTATTTCATTAATTTAAAAAACTATTTCATAAATTTAGTACTTATGTAATGTGACAAGACTGACCATATCAAAACTTTGCAAATTTTTATTTTTTTAAATGCATACTTTTTCTTCAATAAGAAGTTACAGTGTATTAACAATTCAAAAAGGATCACAACAGAGAACAGAAATAAGTTACAGTGTACTAACAACTAGAGGTCAGCTATTAGTTTGATTTGCTAATCAGTTAATCATCGAGCTCACTGACTGATTACATTAAATGAATAAATTATTCTCACATGAGACTAATCTTCCTATTTTTAGTTTTTTAAAAGATATTTTTGAACTACCCTCATTTACAATTGTAAACAAGCAGAATTGTACTGGAGTGATCAAGCATGTGGTGGTATACAGAACATGCTCACCTACATCTATGCAATCAAGTACATGAGTACTTAAGATGTGTCTTTACTGTACAAAGGAACAACAAACTTAACATCATGTGCCACTTCACTTGTTAGAGGTAGAGGAGAATAAGATTGTCATAGGTTACAAAATTAATTATTACTTTGTACACAGCAATATTATAGTGTGAAGTGAACCAAATATTTATATTTAATCACCAAAATGTTGATTCAACATCTCTGTCATGTTTATTTGTAGGGCTTCTGATTTTTGATTTTAACTGATAAACACTGATAAAACACCCCAATACAAAAAAAAAGATATTAGTGTATTTCTTATTAACACCAGAGAAACACAATGGAAATGATTATTCAGTTTACTTTACATCAATGTCTGCATTTTCCTGAGTCACTGTGTTCACAAGATTTAACCCTTTCCATACAGGCTACATTTACTCTGAAGGTAAAGGAACATGCTTCATCCATTAGGTAGGTTTGTTTTATAATTTCATACAAACTATTAGCTACTCTTACAAATCTTTAACACAAATAGAATGATGTTCTGTACCTGATATTACTCCCATAAGAGAAATTAGTGTGCAGAGAATATACAATATATTAGTACACTCATTACAGTATTAAAAGTGAAAATTCTGAAAAACACCAAATTTAAGTTATCTAAAAACCTCAAATGTCTGCAATTAATATAGTATATTTTAATGCTATATTACTTCAATGGTTTTGTTATTATTTATATTTAAAATTGATTACTACATTTATATTTCTAATTCATCACATGGTTGAAAAGCTGGCATGGCTAAGGATAAAGAATACTGGTTTATGAGTGTTTGTCCTGGGATCAGAGAGTTGAAGGTTTGATATGTGCCAGCACCCATCACAGCTTCCATTGGAACATAAATTCAGGATAGTAAAAGGTGTTGTGTTACAAGTAAAGCACATACACAGTCTAGAAAAAGTTCCTATTTTATTTAACACTTAAGAATACAGTTATGCAAATTATAAATTACAAATGTAACACTATGTAAAAATAGTAATTTTTATCGTTGGTAGTGGGTGCTGCTGGCCACTTGCCTTCATTCTGGCCAGAAGTTCAAAATTAAGAAGAGTGGTAGAAAGCCTTAATTGCTTTACCATAACTTGTAAATACAACTGTAATGTAACCAGCAACCCATGAATCACCACAGGCAACCACCCTAATCACTAGGCCACACCAGCCTAAAGCTGGTCAAACCTTAATTAATCAAATAATAATAATGAGAAATCATAATGACAATATTTCAATTACTAGAATAGTTGAAATAATCAAAAACAATTATAATTGAAAACACTAATTCTAATTAGTTGATTATTTTTGTGACATTAATCATTTAATTGTAATTTTGAGTAATCAATAATATTAAATGACACTAATCAATGTAATCCATTATATTGATTAATTGAGTTATTCAATATAATAACTTAAATGGGATCATAACAAGCAACAGAGATAAACTGAACCATAGGTTATTGAAACAATAACTTTTACTAGAATTCAGTATTAACATTTTACACATATCACAGCCTAGATACATATAATCTGAAGATTTTAAACTGTTTTCAACAAATCTGTATAATTTCTATCAAGCTACTCGGTAGAGGATAAGGAAAAAAAAACATCGTCAGAAGCATTTAATGGGCTTTCACTGGTCACAATTAATTATTGTTAGGGAGTTTTGTGTAAAGTTTAGTATTTACAGATATTAAGTTCTTCAAAGAACACTATATATGTTAGTACATGAGATAAACAGCTGGTGTTTATATATGTTCCATATGTTTGTTTGTAATCAAGTACAAACCTAAACAATGGACCATCTGTGTTCTGCCCACCACAGGTATCAAAACCTGGTTAATAGTGTTGTATGTCTGCAGGCATAGTTCCACATGTAAAATTCTACTCTATTCTTTCTTTAATATTACATACATTGCATAACAGTACTATCTAGGATTTGTAACAAATACATTTTTTAAATGTCCCAAGTTAGCCAAACCTTGCAAAAGATTATTGGACTTACTAATATTAAGGGTTCCCAAATGATGAAACAATGCATTCTAATCTTTATAAACAAGTATGTAAGAACAATATATGTAGCTAGATTCATTAATGGGTTAACTTTTAATTTGAATCTACTTAGGTAGCTTGCTCTAAGCAGAGGTTAATATTAATACTTCTCCATTGAAACATGTAAAATCAATATTGTTCAGAAAATATGCTGATTATGAATGTACAATGTATACTAAAAAACAATATTTATGGCAAAAATTATAACCTCTGTTTCAGCAGAGCACCAACATATCAGCTATATGGCTACTGAGGATTTCCTCTTGTTATATTTACCATGTTTAATGTTGCTTTATTAAATCCATTAAATATTAATTTTTGCATCAATATTTCAACATTAATAATGAAATATTGTAATATATTAAAAATTTTACAAAATCTGAGCACTATACACACATAGGATATTAAGAGCTTGTATATTTTTGAAATTTAATTTATTCTATGAATATTACATTACAGTAAATAATATAAAGTACAGTAAAATCAGATATTAAAGACATTTATGGGCAAGCCATCCTTTCTATTTGTTGTTTCTTTGTTGTACTTGAGAAACAGTATTTTGTTTTCCTCTGAAGGCATTTTTATTGGATATTTTGTTAACAGAGCAACTCTATGTTCATTGACTTAATATAACCATATTTTTGGCACTTGAAATTATTTTAGGCAGGATTAGTATATTAATCTACGACACATTTTTCTCCCTTTATTAGCTATATTTTTATGTGCCAGCAATACCAAGTATTGGGTGCACATATACCTGATTCAATTTTATTTCTCATCAGGATCTCAACCAGCCTACCTTTAAATTGAAATTCTTTTAGGCAGGATTAGAGTAAATTAATCTATGAGACTTTGGGCACAGAAAAATACATCAATCAAAAGGGTTTGACCTCTTGAGTCCAAAACTGGAGCTTTGAGCTAAAAGTCTGTACTAGAAAAAAAAAAACTTGGAGCAAATCTATGAGCCACTATGCTGTGGCTAAAAATGTATTAAATAAATACAAAGAAGTCAAAATTAAACATTTTTTGCTTGAAATTTCTAATAAGTATTTTTAGTTTTAATAAGGTAATTTAAACAATTTGGCACTATTTTTATGTGTGTATAAACACCATTATTGCATATACATATAAAGGCTCAGATAAAATCTGAAAACTGGTAGTTACAGTAGACTTAAGAGTAAACTTAATGGTTGGAGGTTGGGAGTAATACTAGTTTAGATAATTTGATTGGGATTTTATAGTAGTATAATTTGTCTACTGTACTACTAATTAACTTAGTAACTTAGGACTTTACTATGATATAGGGGGCTGGAATGCCAACATCAGGATGTAAGTTTGTCTTACTTACACCCAGCAGTGGAATCTTATTTTATTTTTATATTTCTTTGGAGAGCAGTCACCTTCCCACAACTGTCTGCAGGCAGTGAAGGGTGATTAAGATGTGAGACACTATGGACTTGAACACCCACATCTTGCTCTCCTGACTTTTATTTTTCTTACTTAATTTTTATTTATTTTATTTTTTTAACACGTGAGACTGGCAAACAGAGGTTAAGACTGGTATATGGTGTATTCCTACTGCAATGTGGGTCCTACTTTCACAGTCACCTCCAAAACCTAGGACATATATTATATCCCACATTATAGCCTGTACCATGGTGATCCTTTTAATTTATATGGCATCTTTAATGTAGTTTTTGTGTTGTTTGGGCCTGCTTTATTAATTAATGCCTTTCTTCACAGGTTTTGACTTGCTGTTTTAATACAGTACTTTTCTATATATATATATATATAGAGAGAGAGAGAGAGACACACACAAACACACACTCAATGTTATGTCAAACTGTGCATGTCCAAAAGTCCAATACACAGTTTCTAACTGGAAGATGCATACATGGTTTTGACAAACAGGAAGTGACACATTCAGAAACATTTCCACGTAAAACAAAAATAATGAAAAAAACAGACTTCGTAGTTTTGATATGACAGAGACAATATGCACCAGAGCATTCTATTTACTTGAATTTAGCATAGCAGAACTTGGAATTCCTTATAGATAAAAGAAGTTCAAAGTGAAACATGCATTAAACTTGTATTTTTTATACAAAGAGACTGTATAGTTAACAAGTAGTAGCTGTAAGTGTTTGTTATATAATATGTCAGTCATATATATCAAGGCAGAGAAAGTCAAACTCTGCTTAAGATTAAGTTTTAGCTCTAACAACAAAAACAACAAATATATTGAGAGTTTAATCTCATTGTGATAAATTTATGTATGTCTACTGACCTTTTTTTTTTTATAATTCCACAAGATCTTAATTCCAGATTTTGTTAATAACATAACAACTGTTAATGATATACAAAGTTTCTTTTATTCATGAATATTGGTGTGGTTAGATGTATTGTAGCATTATTGCATGTTAATTTATCAAGTAACATTTTATATTGTTTATTACAGAGAACGTAAAACACAGACACAGACCATTTGATAAAATTATCAAATTGGATACAAATAAGATTTTTTAAGAAACCAAAAAACAATAATATAATGACCATGATTAAGCTTTGGAAATATTTCCCTTGTATTACGAAATAAACTATTCTGAGGTGTAAAATAACATTCATATACTAATATATGACTGATCTATAACCTACATAATTTCTATTAATGATATGTGGTTTTTATATTATGGAATGACAAAAAGTGAACCTGTAAATCCAGGGTTGCAGCTGCAGGTGTAGTTTCCATTTCCAGCCTTGTAGTATGAAGATTTTACACATTTGCCTTTATTTTCACATTTACATGGTAAAACTTCTATCTACAAAAACAAATCAACACCAATATTAATTTTGAAAAGCAAGCAAAATTATACAATATTACAATGAAGTGCATGTAAACATGTGCTTCTTTCTATAGCAATATTATTGGATGAAATTCTTCGTTATAAACTATAAACCTTGTTGAAATGTCGTACATTTATAATACAGTTTTTCATTACCCAGCCTAGCCGTCTCCAAACTTTTATTATTTGGTGAAATTCTTAGATATAAATGTATGTTTCACTGGAGAAGTGTCAAGTATTCAACATTAAAACTCACTTGTGTAATAAAGAGTAACATAAACATTTTTGATCAACATTTAGCAGTTTCTAGCCTTGATATGGTTTTTAATTATTAAAACATTTGCTTTCGTTTATTCTCTCAGGAGTTTTCAGAAACAAGAAATTGAGTTGTTGTTTTTTCTGAAATTAATGCTCCTTTAAAATATGTCTGTAACAGTTAAAAGTAATATGGGCTTGAACCATTTGATATTACAATTTACAAATTTTAATACAATGCAATATAAATAATGAAATCAGTCTTATCAGTATATAAAAAATTTTTATTGTAAAATAACAATGTTTTGGGGCAACATTGGACCTATTGGTCCATCTTGGCCATTCCATCCTTTAAACTATATCAAAATAATTAAAAACAAAAATCTTAAAGCCAGCCCTTATTATTCATATACTTATCAAACTTTTTCTTAAACTCACTTCAATTTACTGCTTCTACAACATCTGAAGGTAACCCATTCCAAAGGCCAACCACCCAGTAAGAAAGATGAAACTGTCTTAGCTGAAGGTGACTCCTACCTTGCCAAGATATATATTTGTGTCCCCTAGTCCTACTATTCTCATTGTTAAATATGAAAAAAGATGATGCATCAACACTATCAATTCCTTTTACAATCTTAAACACTTCAATCAGATCTCCCCAACTCTTCTTTTTCAAGAGAAAACAATTTGAGAGATTTCAGCCTCTCCTCATATGACAACCCCTCCATTCCAGGCATCATTCTAGCAACCCTTCTCTGAACCTTTTCCAACAATTCAGTGTCTTTCCTAAGGTAAGGAGCCCAAGACTGAACACAATATTCCAAATGTGGCTTAACCAGTGATCTTAAAAATGAAATTATAACCTCTTTAGACTTGTATTCAATATTTCTGTAGATACAACCTAAAATCTTATTTGACCTACCACTAGCAACAACACACTGCTTGGAAGGCTTTAGAGACTGATCGACTATTACGCTAAGATTCCTTTTCTTCATGACCCTATTAAGGTTATTCCCATCCAAATTATACTTATAATTCAAATTATGATAACCCTCATGCATTATCATGTACTTATTATAATTAAAACCCATCTGCCATTTATTTGCCCAACTCACTATATGATCTAAATCTTTTTGTAAATCAGCAGCACCCCCTTCACAGCTAGCAACACCCAAGACCTTAATATCATCTTCAAATTTAAGTAATTTATTGACTATTCCTTCATCTGTGTCATTGATATGAATCAGAAAGAGCATAGGTCCTGAGACAGAGCCCTGAGGTACCCAACTTGTGACATTAATCCACTTTGACTGAACTCCATTTCTAACAACTCTCTGCTTTCTTCTATCCAATTTGCTAACTTATCCCCCACACCTACAGAGCTAATTTTTCTTACAAGCCTTTTATGTGGCATCTTATCAAGTGCTTTCTGAAAATCCAGATACACAAAATCTACACCCTTAATCTCATCTACATAAGCAGTAAACTTTTCAAATAATGTTAAAAGATTT